CATGACCTCCACTGATAGAGATAATCACTTTCTCTTCTGGATTTCAGGTTCCCTTAGTTTCTGGTACTTCTGTATATAGTACTTAATAATGGATTATTTGATTATTTATCTCCCCCAATAACATGTCGCAGGCATCCTCCTAGGTATTTTATATATTTTAAATAATTTAATCCTCACAGTACCTCATGAGGTTGTTGCTATCTTGATCCCCACACAGTGCCAGTGCCTGCCTTGAAATAGATATTTTAATAAATTTATGAATGCCTGAAGATAATTGAAGTACATCCAGAAGATAGTGATTAGAGTGTTGAGGGGGACTCAAAATGATGCCATGTTTGGAGTCGTTTAAGGAACTAGAGATGTTTAGCCTGGAGAAACCTGGAGGAACCTGAATACCATCTTCAAATGTTTGGAGGGCTGTCACATAGAAGAGGGATTACACAAGTTCCCTGTGGCCCCAAGGAGGTAAAATTAGGACTAGTGGTGAAAACTACAGGGAGATATTGTACCTTCATTAAAGGGAGAATCTTTAATAAATAGGGCTCTTTAAAAGTAGAGTAGTTAGCCTTGGAAATTTCCTTTTTACTGGGTACATTCACTGATATGTTGCATGTCTATTTAATACAGTCAGCTGTAATGTATCAATGCTGGGCTTGAAGTTACACTCTCAGCTCTTTAAATCCCATCCGGTAAGATTTAAGGGTCAATTGCAGAGTACCTGCCATTGCCTAGCACAAACTAGGCACTTACTTAGTACCCTTACCCTTGGTGGCCAGCATTGAAAAGGCAGGTAATTTAATCAACTGTTGAGAATTTGTCTGAGATTATATGATTCTTTGAAAACCTTGACTCATATATCTTAATTTTATTCTTTTGTCTGGATGTTCTTTGTCATTTATAACCACGTTTGTGTCATGGCTATTCATTATTTACCTAAGTAATCTTAAAAATAATTGATGAAGACAAGTGTGAGATGAAAAACATTTTTCTAATGTAGTTTTTGTGACTGTGAACGTAGAAAAAAGAATTCAAGCCCTCTGCTTAGTAGAGCATAGAAGTGTTGTTCTTGTGTGCCAGTTCATTTCTTTCATTAATTTAGCAAATTGGTTTTGTGTGTCTGCTATGCTCCAGGCCCTGTTAGTCAATGGGGATACAGTAGTAAATAAGGCAGGCCCTGTCTTAAGGAATCTACATCTCCTAGGAAAAATAGACAAATAGTGAAAATGCACTGTGTTAATTGTTATAATAGATTGAATGTAGGGTGTTATGGATGCACACAGAAGATGATCTAACACTGTTTTATGAAAGTTTAGGGGTATCAGGGGAAGTATCATGGGAGAAAATAATATATAATTTGAGACCTGAGGACAAGTAGGAGTTATTCAGGCATAAAATAGTGGGGGAGAGGAATATTTCAGAAAAACATCTAATAGCCAAAGAGAAAACACGTTTGGAGAACTGAAAACCTTTGGTACACCTGGAACATGGAGTTTGTTGGTAGAGTGACAAAAATGAGACTGGAGAGCCAAGCAGGGACTAGATTATGAACAGCTTTGTGACTAATATTAGAGTCTAGACTTTATCATAAGGGAAATAGGAAACCACTGGAGTTTTTAAAGCAGGAAAATGATTTGACCAGATTTGTATTCAGAAAAGTCATTCTGTCTTTCTTAGTTGGAAGTTAATAGGTAATATGTAAAACTGAAAAATCAAGAAAAAGTACAGACATGTTATTGAGAAAGAAGGGGGTAAATATTAGAAGAAATAACTAAAAGAATTGAGGGTGGTTGTTCTTAGGACTTGGGAATCAGGGTAGGGAAGAGTTAGGTCAGGAACTGATTTTTTTTCTTCCTGTAAAAGCCTTGTAGAATGATTTAACTTTCTTAATCTATGTGCAGTGTAGTATAGTGGTTAAGAATATGGATGCTAAGACCAGACTGCCTGAGTTGAATCTTGCCTCCACTATTTATAAATTGCTTAATTTCTCTATGATTAAGTTTTCCTCTCTGTAAAAATGGGAATAACAATAGAACTTATAGAATTTTTGTGAGGATTAAATGAGTTAATACAAATAAAACACTAAAACAGTGCATGGTGTGTAATAAACACTGAGTTTTAGCTGTTATTCTTACATGTCAGCACTGTTCAGGTACTGATATATAAGGAGGATAGACAAATTTACAATCATAGTGGGGCATTTTTTAAATGTTGCTTTTAGTAATCAAGAGAACAAGTGAACAAAAAAGTCAGAACAGGTATAGAGTTCATCAGCATGATTATTAAGATTAATCTAATGCACATATAAGGAATGTTGTATGTAACAACTGTAGAGTACACATTCTTTTCAAGAACCCATGGAACATTTGTAAAATTGACCAAAGAAATTTCTCAAATATTAAAGAGTGAAAATTATATAGATTGTGATGTCTATTCACAATACATTTAAGCTAGAAGTCAACACAAAAGGTAATTGTAAAATGCCTCATAAAATTAGAAATTTAAAAATACACTTCAGATGAACCCATAAGTCAAAAAAAGAATCATGATTAAAATTGGAGAATAGTAATTTAAACTTCTATGGATCAAAATTTGGGATGCTGTTTAAGATCAGTTAAAGTTCTACATGTGGGGCTTCACTGGTGACACAGTGGTTGAGAGTCCGCCTGCCGATGCAGGGGACATGGGTTTGTGCCCCGGTCTGGGAGGGTCCCACATGCCGCGGAGCGGCTAGGTCCGTGAGCCATGGCCGCTGAGCCTGCGCGTCCGGAGCCTGTGCTCTGCAACGGGAGAGGCCACAGCAGTGAGACGCCCGCGTACCGCAAAAAAAAAAAAAAAAGTTCTACATGTGTATTTTAGAATAGAAAACCTAAAAATTAAGGAGTTTTTATTTCAGGAAACTCAGGGAAGAAAAATAGAAAAGTAGAATTATTAGCATAGGAAACATTTCAAAAGCCAAGTTCACAGGCAGTGGCCAAGGGCTAGCTCCCATAAGCAGGCTAAAGATCAGGCCTACTATGTTAACTTTTTCCAGCACATTAAGGATTTGAAACTATGGGGGCTTTGATACACTGCCAGGAGGAGAGTAAATTGGTACATCCACTTTGGAAAACAGTTTGGCATTATCTAATAGTTAACCCTGCATTTCCTCTCCTAGATATATGTGCTATAGAAACTACTACACTTGTACCATGACACATATATAAGAATACGCAGTCTCATTATTGGTAACTGTCAAAAACTGTAGAATAGGTAAATTATGGTAAACTTTCACAATAGAGAATAGTACAGTATAATAGAATACAACATGAAATGAAAAATAATGAACAGCTACGTTGATACGAATAACTCATAAAAGTATTCAAATGATCCTGTTTATATAAAGTTCCAAAACAGACAAAACTTAAATATATTGTTTAGGAATACACAAATAAGGGTTGTAAGACTATATAATACACTGTTCCATACATACCATAGTAGATATTCAATAAATATTTCATAAATAAATAAATCGATTTTATCTCTGAAGCAGAAATGGTGAATACCAATTTAAAAAGAAAAGTCTAATAGAGAGCAGACTTGTGGTTGCCGTGGGGAAGGGATGGATTGGAAGTTTCGGATTAGCAGACACAAACTTATATATATAGAATGGTTAAACAACAAGGTCCTACTGTATAGCATGGGGAACTATATTCAATATCTTGTAATAAGCCATGATAGAAAAGAATATAAAAGAATATATATATATATGTATAACTGAATCACTTTGCTGTATAGCAGAAACTAACAACATTGTAAGTTAACTATACTTCAATAAAATAAATTTTAAAAAAACAAAGAAGAAAAGTCTAGCTTTTATTATATATTGTAGGGAGTAAGGATGGAAATAGTAAAGATAGCTTGTGTTTATAAAGTTTCTTCTTACTAAACAAGAGACCCTTTTTCAGGCTTTTATCTTGAATATCAATAGATGAAATATGGAAATTAAATAAACATCTATATATTAAACATACATTAAACCAGCATCTGTAAATGTGCATGTGTGTCAATTCCAAAAGAAATATTTGGGCTTCCCTGGTGGCGCAGTGGTTGAGAGTCCGCCTGCCGATGCAGGGGACACGGGTTCGTGCCCTGGTCCGGGAAGATCCCACATGCCACGGAGCAGCTAGGCCCGTGGGCCATGGCCGTTGAGCCTGCACGTCCGGAGCCTGTGCTCCGCAACGGAGAGGCCACAACAGTGAGAGGCCCGCATACTGCAAAAAAAAAAAAAGCCAAAAGAAATACTTGCAACCCAAGGGGCTCTGGAATTATTTATCTATACTGAACTCATCTTTCAGAATAATTCTGGTGAGAAGCCATTAGAATGCCCCTATCTTCAAAAACTAGTATAGCATCAAGTTAATGAATGTTCTTTCAAATAAACTCTTACTATTGACTATTACTATATCTAACTTTTTAAAATTGTCAATGTGTATTTTTTGAAATTCTCATCCTGATACTGCCTTGTGACTGTTAGGATGGATGACTTAACAAGGTCCTTTATATAATTTATCAGCTTTTATATTTAAAATAATGTTTGAAAACTACTTAAGTCATCTAAACTCCAAGAAGGAAACCAAATTTTTGCCTGAGAAATCCTTTTCACAGTGAAAGGCTTTAAGTGGAAGTGGCAAACTCAGATGCCTGTGGTGGCCACTGAGGTAGTAAATAAGAGGAGAAGGATGGGAACTGTGGCAAATCTAGATCACATAGTCCTCCCTCTCTGAACAGGGCAACTCCTACTCAACTCTGTAGCCATGAGGGAATGTGGACTGTGGTGCCAAATCTTCTAATTTTTAAAAATATGTCATATATTTGACATTAATTCAGAACTTTTAAGCACTATGCAAGTGATCCAAAACAAGTCTGTGGGCAGGATCTAGCTGCCAGGTTATTAGTTCACAAATGATTTTAAAAGGATATACAATCTTGGTAAAATAATTTTCATTGTGTTTTACATGTAGTCGACAGAGGTACGTTCTTGGAGACACAGCAATGCAGAAGATGGCCAAGTCCCATGTTTTCTTAAGTGGTATGGGTGGTCTTGGTTTGGAAATTGGTAAGCAGTATTTTTATTCATAATTTTATATGATGCTTTTGAGCAACATAATTTAAAGAATTTAATTCCTTTCCCTTGTATTATTTTCTATAAAGGAAATTAGACCCAAAACCTTGATCAGGTTCAGTTTTGATTTTGGGTGGGGGGGCAGCTGGGGCAAGAGTATTTCATACTGTTACATTCTTCCACAAGGAACCAGTAATGACTCTCCTGCTTCTCTTTTTGTGATGTTGATAGTTATTAATGATCTTTCTCTGTATCCATTAATTCATTATGGTAGAGCACACATGCACACATTCATAACAGCATGTCTGGAAGCATACACTGAAATTTTAAGAATGATTATCTCAGTGTGGTTTGATTATGGAAAATTTTATTTTTTTCATTTTGTTCATCCATATTTTCTAAGGAACCTATATTTCTTAGGTAGTAAAAAGTTAAAATTATTCAGAGATTTAACCAAACTCCATGAAGACATATCTAATATACAATTCCTAATATTAAGCTATTCCTTTTTTTTTCTTCCCCCTTTATAGCAAAGAATCTTGTTCTTGCAGGGATTAAGGTGAGTAAATGTCCTTGGTAAGAAGAATTGTTTGTTTGTTATGAACTCTTTTTTTTTTTTCCTCTCATCCGTAGTGGTGATATTAGTTACACTTTGGCCTAATTATTGCTTCTTCATTTAGTAGCAAAATTGTCGTAATTCTCTATTTTCCTCCTTTTAAAAAGCTTTTTATTACAGAAAATTTCAAAATTATCCAAAAAAAGAGAATAGTGTTAGCAAAACCCCATGTATCCATCATGCACCTGCAGTTATTAGCTCATAGACAGATTTGTTTCATGTATCTTCTTCCCATTCCCCACTGCCCCCAACTGCCCAATTATTTTAATATCAATCTCAGACATCCTATTATATCATTCTTAAATATTTTACTATAAACCTCTAAAAGATAAGCGTGCCTTTTGAAAACATAACCACAGTATCACTTCCACACCTAAAAACGTTAACAGTTTTTTAAGATCATTGTTATCTTTAAACAGAACTTAGCAACTTAAACAACAGCATTTACCTCAGTTTCTTTGGGGCAGGAATCAGGTGCAACTTAGCAGATTCCTCTGAGGATCTTTCACAAAGCTCCAGTCACCGATATTGGCAGGGCCTGCAGTCATCTTGAGGCTAGGGAAAGGATCTGCTTCCCAAACCTGCCCATGTAGTTATGCATAGGATTCAGTGGCAAGGTTGTGTCGTTCAACTTGCCCACCTCAGTCCCTTGCTGGCTATTAGTCAGAGGTCACCCTCAGTTCCTTGCCATGTGGCCCTCTTCATAGGGCAGCTCACAATATGGCAGCTTGTTCCATCGGAGTAAGCAAGCAAAAGACAAGAAAGGGAGGGGCTTCCCTGGTGGCGCAGTGGTTGAGAGTCCGCCTGCTGATGCAGGGGACACGGGTTCGTGCCCCGGTCCGGGAAGATCCCACATGCCGTGGAGCGGCTGGGCCCATGAGCCATGGCCACTGAGCCTGCGCGTCCGGAGCCTGTGCTCCACAACGGGAGAGGCCACAACAGTGAGAGGCCCTCATACTGCAAAAAAAAAAAAAAGGGAATGTGCTAGCAAGATAAATCGCAGTCTTTTGTAACCTAATCTCAGAAGTGACATTCCATCACCTATGCTGTAGTCCTTAAAAGCAAGTCACTAGGAGGAGACAGGATTGCACAAAGGCCTGAATATCAGGAAGTGGGAATCATTGGGGTATCTTTGAAGCCTGCCTACCACGATCGTCAAGTATCTAGTTAGAGTCCATATTTTCCCAGTCGTCTAAAGAAAGAATTTTTCTTAAATTTGTTTTGTTCTAATCAGGATCCAAGTAAAGTCCATATACTGGACTTGGTTTCTTTGAATCAATAGATTTCCCTTCCCTGATTCTTTTTCTTTCTTTCAATTTACTTTTTAAAGAAATCAGGTCATTTGTCACGTGTACCTCCATCTCTGTATTTCTTATAAACTAGTCGTTATATCCAGAGAATCAGATTCAGATTTGATTCTTTGGGCACTACTGCTGCACAAGTGATATTGTGTTCTCCCATCAGGAGGAAATAATATTCTGTTATCTTTTTTTGTGATTATTACTACCTATTAATGATCACTGCCTAGATCATTATTTTATTGGGGCTGTGATATTCTATTTCTGTCATTTCTATTTCATTTATTAATGGGAATAATATTTTAGAAAAGTTTCCATTCATCACTTGTTTGGTTTCGCTACATATAGTTAGTACATGTGTAAAAGGCAAGATAAATACTTGATTTTCCCCCTTTATTTACTACTTTTCAAAATCACTGGTTTTCTCTGAATCCTCAACAGTGACAGGTGAAACTTAGGTGGTATGTGTGTATGTGAACATCATGATGGATTTAAACATATTTGATGTGTTTTGAGTCATTGATGCTCAGATTGTTTCATCTTTGCTTTGGGGGATCTTCTTGAAGTCCTTGAGTCCTTTTGACACTACCCCAGTATTCTTTGGTTGTCACTGCCTGTAAAGTCTTACCAGTGGACAGAGCTAGAACATTCATTGTGAATGAACACTGAAATTTCTGAGTTTCAAGTTTAGGATTACAGGGTACTTACTTATTTACTTCTTAGATTTTATATTTGTATCTCTTCTCTTACTATAAGGTTTTGGGTCTTAATGACATGAACCTGATTACTTATTTGCTTTATCCTATATTATATCCTGTTATATCTATGACATAGTTTTGGAATAACAGTTCCAGCATTATTATAACAATATGATTATTGAAAACAGTTTAAGATAAATTGTTTTATCCTTAGTATCCCATCTGGATTTGGCAGACAAATTAACTGCTTTCTTAAGTCACTAAATAATTCCTTTGTGTAATTATGCAACAAATTCAAATAGATAGTTTTGTCCATTTATTCATTTTACTTTGGATTTTTAGGGATTGCTTTTTTAATTTGATTTAGTTTTATTATTATATGAGACATATTCAAAGTCAAATTTATAAAGCAAAGTATATTCAGGTAAGTCTAGCATCTCTCTACCCTATTTCCTCCTTCCCTTATTAGGTTGCCTTCTTTTTTTAATCTGTTTTTAAATATAAGCAAATACATACATATAGACATGCAAATCTGTATGTGTGTATGTACATATTTATCCCCACCTGCCTTTCTTAGGTAAAGTGCCATACTTCTACCTTGCTTTTTATCACATACCAGCATATCCTGGTATTACTCCATAGTGATAAATATATTTTTTCACTTATTTTTTTCATAGCTGCATGGATATATGTTGTGTTGATGTATCATACGTAATTATACCCATTTCCTCATTGGTGGACATTTTGATTATTTCCAGTCTGTTGCTATTACACATAGTGCTGCAGCTAAGAGTCCTGTACATATGTATTTTTATATTATTTCCAGTGTGTCTTTGTGATAGATTCTTAAAAGTGGGATTGCTGTGTCAAAGGAGAAATATACTTGTCATTTTGCTAAAGAATGCCAATTTTTTTTCCTTTGAGGTTTTGTGCTACTTCATATTCCCACCAGTAATGTATGAGAATGCCTGATTTACTTCACTCTCACCAATTTGGATTTATGCCATTCTGATGAATGAGAAAAGGTGTTTCATTCTTGAGCAAGGTTGAACATACTTAAATATTTTAAAGGGCCCTATGTATTTCTTTTTCGGTATACTCTGCTTTCATATACCTTGCCCCTTTTTCTATAAGATTTGTGGCTTGAAATATAAGTTAAAAATATATTTTCCAGTTAGTCAGTTTTCTTTCTTACTTAGAACATGACCATTTGGAAATGTTAGTTTATGTGAATTTTTAAAATCTTTGTATATATGTTGATCTGTATAATGTGCTACTTTTCTAAACTTAAATTCGCTTACTGTTTTTTAAAGTAGTTTTTCACATAGCATAAAGGCACCCTGGTGATGTAAGTGCATGGTAATATGCCTAATTTATTCATTTTTTTAAAGTCAACTAGGGTTCAGTACTATCTGAAAAATAAAGTACATATACACACACCTACAGCAAGCATATAGTATATTTATTTGGAATTACAATATTACCATCATGTTAATTATTTTTTACTTAATTAATTGAGAATTGTTATTGATAAATGTCATACGTGGAAAGTATTATTCTTATTGTCATCAGTATACAACTATCGTTACATGAACGTCTGTAACTTGGAATTACAATTTTACTGTGTTAAGTAATCAAAACCCTGCTTTTAACATTTGTCTTATCTCACTTCACAGTTGACAGTTGAATAATGAAGCTATATTCAAGTTAATGTAACAGTAATCTCTACCAAAAAAATCATATACTAGCATTAAAAAATTATTTTGCGTTATAAAAAAAAAACAAAGTAGTTTTTCCATGAATTTTTCTGGGTTTCCAGATGTATATAGTCATATCATCTGTGAATGGATCTAACTTTATAACCTTTCCAATTACTAGGACTTTAATTACTTTCTATTGTCTAATTAGATAATTCTTCCAAGTCAGTGTAAATAGTATTGGAAATAGTGAGCATCCTTGTCTTACTCCTGACTTTAACAGATAGTTTTCTCTTTTTTGAAGGCACTTACAATTCATGATACAGAAGAATGCCAAGCATGGGATCTAGGAACCAACTTCTTTCTCTGTGAAGATGATGTTGTTAGTATGAGAAACAGGTGAAGATAAGATATTTTGATGTATTATCATAGGATTTTTCTTTTTTCTTACTGTTGTAGTTACTTAGAATATTTTCTGTATCCAGAACACCAGTTCAATCATAGTTGTTTAACTCATAACCATAAATTCACTCTACTGTAGATAAGTAAGTGTTGACATTTAATTATTTATATTTGTCAAAAATTTAATACATTCACATTGCTACCTAGAAATGCATTTCTTTAAGATTGTTTAAGTAGGTCTTTATTATTACTGAATCATTAAGAGCCTTAAGGAGCATTGACCTATAAGGGTACACTTTGAGATTATGTGAATATGCTATATTCATATTCCATATTACTATGCTATTACATATGCTACTACTATGGAATATGACAGTGTGCTACATCTCAAGATTGTATAGTAAAAATAAGTTTCAACTTCTTTTATTCCTCTCCAGTTTAAATTCCCATGAAATTTTGTAACATTCACGTTCTTCTGATGTCATCAAAGTGTCCAAGTTTGAAAGATTGAGTATATTTATTGAACAAAAGAATAGTAAAAGTCTTTTTTCTTTTTCTTTTCTTGTTTTAGGGCTGAAGCTGTACTTCATCGTATTGCAGAATTAAATCCATATGTTCATGTCACATCATCTTCTATTCCTTTAAATGAAACTACCGATCTTTCCTTCTTACATAAATACCAGGTTGGTACTCCATTTTATATTAGATGTTATTGACAGACTCCAAGGCAAATCATTATGTATTAATATAGTATAACTAGTTTAACCTAGTCTGTTGAGCAGCTCAAAAAATTTCAGGTAAAAAGACTTAGACTAATACATTTCAAGTGCTTTGTTTTAGGGAAAGGGCCTAGGAACTACTCACAAAGTAAATATATTGGTCAGCTATTTTCACAGTAATGTACATGAAAAACTACCCAAATTTAGTGGTTTATAGCAACATGTATTTCTTTCTCATGCATCTGCATGTCAGTTTGAGTTCTGCTGTTCTAGGCTAAACTTGAACTCCACAGTCTGGGTTCTGGTCCGTGTACCTCTCTTCTGGGACCAGGAGGCTACCTAAGACATGGTCTCATAGCAATAGCAGAAATGCAAAGGAGCGAGTGTAACCGTTCAAACACATTTGTGTTGCTTCCATTAATAGTCTGTTGGCCAAAGCAGGTCACATGGACAAACCCAAAGTGAAGGAGCAGGAAAGCACACTATACTCTTCCTAAGGCCATGGGCAGAGAGTAATGTATAACCCAGGAACAAGGAAGTAAATAATGTGGACCAAAAATTCAGTGTAAGTCAGGTAACAAATAAAAACAAAATTTCTCAGCACGTTGAAAGTTCTAAAAGTGACTAGATTGACCCTGATTTTCCCTGTGATTAAATTATGATGTTATCCATCGTCTAGGGAAAAGCACTCCTGTGTTTCTTTAAGATCTCAATACTTCTGGCACTTGTGTGACTATATGCATGTGGGTTTTCCCCCCAGCACCAAACAGTTCTCCAACTCTCTGGACACCTAGCTTGGTGTCCTGCAGTTTAATCCAGTTCTGATACTGTCTGCCTGGAGAAATAGTGTTAGATTCCACAGGTTAAGGGCTCAGTCCCACAAGAACCCACACCCTCCAACCCCTTTCTGACTCCAATTTCAAGTCCAGGTTGTTACCTGTGCTTCTGAGGACTGGCTATAAGTCAGAGGTTTCCACATCCCGTTCCTCAGGTTCAGTTAATTTGCCAGAGCAGCACACAGACTCAGGAAAAGAGTTTACTTACTAGATCACCAGTTTTTTGTAAAAGGCTATAACTCAGGAACTGCCAGATAGAAGAGATTCATAGGTCAAGGTATGGGGAAAGGGTTGCCAAGCTCCCATGCCCTCTCCAGGTATGCCATGTTCACAAGCTTGGAAGCTCTCTTAAGCTCCTGGTTCAGGGATTTTTGTGGAGGCTTCATTATGTAAGCATGAATGAGTAACACATTGGCCGTTGGTGATTAAGTCAGTCTCCAGCCCCAGAGGTCTGGGAGATACGGCTGAAAGTTCTGAACCTCACATACTAAGGTTGGTTCCTCTAACAACCAGCCCCCATCCTTAGGGGCTTTCCAAAAGTCTCCTCATTAACATAAACTCAGGTGTGGCTGAAAGGGCTTGTTATGAATAACAAGACATTCACTTCCTCTTTATCACTCTGAAGCTATTTCAGGAAATAGGACAAAACTAAATATTATAACAAAAGATGCACCTATAGCTCTTATATAGGAAATTACAAGTGTGGTAGGAGCTATGTGGCAGGAACCTTGGATGAAGACCAAAATACATATTTCTTACTATAATCATAATATCACACCCACTTAAGAATCAGTGTAGACTTCCATTCTTGACTGGATAGCTTGAAATCCATCCTGCTACAAAGATGCTTCATAGACTGTCTACAATAGAATTGCTTAATAGACTTCCTTTTCAATGATTACATGAGGTCAGAATATGTAAGGGAGGTGCTCAGAGACCAAAAATGAATAGGTAGCTAACAGAAGACCAGTTAACTTTTGGCTGTGGTCATTTTCAGGGACAGGGTTTGCCTGTATCAGTAACCACATTTCTTGTGAATTAATGGTCACACAAAAACGATAAAAATTTGTCTATGTATGATGGAAAAGTGTAATTGAGACATACCACCTTTTGTAGCTCTCTGGAACCTCAGAAAGCTACACCCTTAATGAAAGGGTGTAGAAGAACAATCTTTGCCCATCAGAACAAGAAGCTTGTCTGTTTTCTTTTGAGCTCTGAATTAAAAAAAAGATCTTCTCTGGGAGTTCATAACGATAGGCCTGCCCTCACATAAGTTTGGAGTAAACTTTATAATCCGTTATATTCTAAAATTTCGCAAGCTGAGAACTTAACATAAAACATAGTACTGCCCCTGTCCACCTCCCTGTGGCTGCCTGGCCGGCCGAAAAGTTTCTCCAGGTGCAGAATTCCGGTCTTCGTGACCACCAGCATGAGTGTGCGCACCAGTCAGGAGCCAGCCTGCCCGATGGCCCTGGGAAATGGATATATCAGAAACTGAAGCAAGAAAGTACTCGGCAGAGGGCGGAATCAAGATGGTGGACTAGGAGGATGCAGAATTCATGTCTCTGCACAACTAGGGCACCTACCAAGCACCGGTGGTGGACCACGGACGTCTATGAGGACGGGAGGAAGCCCCACAGACTGGGTCCTAAGCAGAGGCCCCGCCCCACACTTGAACGTCACCCTGCCTAAGCCCCGCTCCCAAGGCCTTTTCCAGCTGTGTGGGTCCTGAGCCTAGGCTCGGTCCAATGCTCAAACGTCACCCCCCGCACCGGCCTAGGTCCCGCCCCACCCTAACCCCACGCCTGCCTAAGTTCCATCCCTGCCTAAACTCCGACCCCATAGCCAAGGCTATTTTTTTCTTCATTTTTTTCCTCTTTTCCTTTTTCCTCTTTTAGATTGAAGTTCTATTCTACCTTGTTGATTCACTGTTGTTCATTCATTTATATTTTATTTTTCCTAATCTTTTATTTTTCTAATTTTATTTTATTCTTTATACTTATTGTTCTCTTCTTTTGGCTTGTTCCCCTGCCCCCTGCCCAGCCCCTTTCTTTTTCTGTTATGGTTTTATTTTACCTTCTGGCAGTTGTTTCAATTATTTTATTTTATTTTTTTCTTTTGCGGTACGCAGGCCTCTCACTGTTGTGGCCTCTCCCGTTGCGGAGCACAGGCTCCGAAAGCGCAGGCTGAGCAGCCATGGCTCACGGGCCCAGCCACTCCACGGCATGTAGGATCTTCCCGGACCGGGGCATGAACCCGTGTCCCCTGCATCGGCAGGCGGACTCTCAACCACTGCGCCACCAGGGAAGCCCCAATTATATTTTTATTTTTCCTAATATATTTTTTATCTTTCTAAATTTATTTTGTTTTTTATTCTTTGATATTGTACTGCTTTTTAATCTTTCTTTTTTTTTTTTGCCACGCCCTGCAGCTTGTAGGATGTTGGTTCCTATTCCAGAGGTTGGGCCCAAGCTCCTGTGGTGCGAGCTCTGAGTCCAAACCACTGGACTAACAGAGAACCTCAAACCCCAGGGTATATTAATCAGAGTGAGGCCTCCCGGAGGTTCTAATCTCAGCACCAAGACCCGGCTCTATCCAACTGCCTGCAAACTCCAGTGTTGGAACGCCTCAGGCCAAACAACCAGTAAGACAGGAATACAACCCCACCCATCAAAAAAAAAAAAAAAGAAAGGCAAAAAAATGTGTTACAGATGAAGGAGCACGGTAAAAACCTACAATACCAAATAAATGAAGACAAAATAGGCAACCTACCTGAAAAAGAATTCAGAGTAATGATAGTAAAGATGATCCAAAATCTAGGAAACAGAATGGTGAAAATACAAGAAACATTTAACAAGGGTCTAGAAAAACTAAAGAGCAAACAAACAGTGATGAACAACACAATAAATGAAATTAAAAATACTCTAGAAGGAATCAATAGCAGAATAACTGAGGCAGAAGAACGGATAAGTGAGCTGGAAGGTAAAATGGTGGAAATAACTGCCAGGGAGCAAAATAAAGAAAAATGAGTGAAAAGAATTGAGGACAGTCTCAGAGACCTCTGGGACAACATTAAACACACCAACATTTGAATTATAGGCGTCCCAGAAGAAGAAGGGAAAAAGAAAGTGTCTGAGAAAATATTTGAAGACTATAGTTGAAAACTTCCCTAACATGAAAAAGGAAATAGTCAAGTCCAGGAAGCTCAGAGAGTCCCATACAGGATAAACCCAAAGAGAAACACACCGAGACACATATTAATCAAACTATCAAAAATTAGGTACAAAGAAAAAATATTAAAAGCAGCAAGGGAAAAGCAACAAATAACCTAGAAGGGAATCCCCATAAGGATAACAGCTGATCTTTCAGCAGAAACTCTGCAAGCCAGAAGGGAGTGGCAGGACATATTTAAAGTGATGAAGGAGAAAAACCTACAACCAAGATTATTCTACCCAGCAAGGATCTCATTCAGTTTCGACAGAAAAATTAAAACCTTTATAGAGAAGCAAAAGGTAAGAGAATACAGCAAACCAAACCAGCTTTACAACGAATGCTAAAGGAAAGTCTCTAGGCAGGAAACACAAGAAAAGGAAAAGACCTACAATAACAAACACAGAACAATTAAGAAAATGGCAGTAGGAACATATATATTGATAACTACCTTAAATGTAAATGGATTAAATGCTCCAACCAAAAGATATAGACTGGCTGAATGGATACAGAAACAATATGCTGACTACAAGGGACCCACTTCAGACCTAGGAGCACATACAGACTGAAAGTGAGGGGATGGAAAAAGATATTCCATGCAAATGGAAATCAAAAGAAAGCTGGAGTAGCAATTCTCATATCCACAAAATAGACATGAAAACAAGACTATTACAAGAGACAAAGAAGGACACTGCATAATGATCAAGGGATCAATCCAAGAAGATATAAGAATTGTAAATATTTATGCGCCCAACATAGGAGCACCTCAATACATAAGCCAAATGCTAACAGCTGTAAAAGGGGAAATCAACAGTAACACAATCATAGTAGGGGATATTTACACCCCACTTTCACCAATGGACAGATCATCCAAAATGAAAATAAATAAGGAAACACAAGCTTTAAATGATACATTAA